CTTATGGTTTTCACCAGAAGCCATAGCAGACGCGCAACAGACGACCTAGATCACGCAACTAGCATGGACAACAAAGCAGCATTGAGGAGACTGATCGAGCAGGTCGAGCAGATGCGGCAGCAACACGCCGCCAATCTACAAAGCATGCGTGCCAAGCACGAAATTGACCTAGCAGCGATGTGCACCGCCAATGAGGCTGACCTAGCGGCGCTGCGCGCCGAGAATGAGCGTATTCGCGCTCAGCTCCCTCGACATCCCTCTGATCAACCCCCTCAATAGAGTAACCTACACGAGGAAGAGGGGCACTCGGTGTCTCAACCGCCGACGACAACTAGGGCACCGACTCCTAGGCCTGCCACGTATCGGTCCCACGTACCGACGAACAGGTCGGCCCATGACGTCAGCAATGCTCTTGCCCACGTCACGGGAAATCAAGCGACCTTCCGCCGTCATCCTTTTGTGGATGGCATCATGGATTAGTGTTGACTTTGAGCGGTGGTGTGTAGTCCCAGTACACGTGATTTTTGATACGACACCGAACGTTACTTAATTTGAACTCACCAAGCGTTGTCAAGGCTGAGAACAAAGATTACTCCCAATATCACTCACGTTGGATGACCCTCAATGGACGCAAAAGCTCCAGAGGCTTTCTTGTAATATTTTTGTCGGGCATGACCCTTGTCACGCTAGGTGTTGTTCAACCCGAGCAATGAGGCCCTTTGGTGGTCCAACACCAGGCACAACATAAGTGCCATCGAGCGCGATATATATGTTGCAATTTTGTATTGCAATTCCCTCATGATATATAAATGATAAATTAAGATGTGATCCCTTTGTCATTGATTGTTTGTAGTTAATTGATACAATTGAATGGTTTATTTTTATGTTGAGAATAGTTGATGATTATATGATATGAAATTAGTTGATAGTGAAATGATGTGATAATGTGATATGATAATGCATAGAGTCTTTTTCGATACGCATCATATGCATAAATATTTTTAGTAGTATTATATATGAAATACGTCGTCAGGGAAAACTCCCTTATATAAAAGTTTGAGGAATCAGTCTTTAGGGATAGTTAAGTTTAGAAAGTCTCAATCTTGCCCATTTTATACATGAGTCAAAACCTTCATAGCACTACTATCCTAACTAGACCTTGGTAGTATATCTTCTTAGTGAGAATACATTAAGTATGTGACTTAGTATGTACTCCTAGACTATTTTATGTGTTGCTTGAGACAATACACCATGTCATCGATATTTTTACTGATGTCACAAGCATGATTAAATATAGTTTATGTTCATTGCATAGTACATATGAACGATCTATTGTATTGACTTATTATGTTATGGATAATTGTAACACATGTTTGTTCTAGTTATGATTTTTTCTCTTGTTTGTGTTTGACTATCTGGCTACAACCGACACTGTGAATCAAAGTGAATTTCTCACTCCCATTTGTTTTATGTTGTTCTTTTGATTTTATTGGTGATTTTCAATATGATATTAAGGATGCTGGTAATGAGACTTATTCCTTACTGACATGTTATGATCTAATTATAAGATGTAATATTGGGACAATTGTTAGGAGTTTAATTCTACTTCTTACATTTTGAGACAATCATTATTTTAATATAATTTTAGTTCGTTTTGTTATTTTAATTTAAGACAATATATGATACTTTCTATGTTGAACATGATATTTTTATTTATGACAAGTGTTGTTATTCAATTATTATTATTATTATTATTATTATTATTATTATTATTATTATTATTATGTGATATAATATGCAGAATAGAGAATGTCACAATCACCTTTAGTACTACTATTACTATTATCATTATTATTGTTATTGCTACCACACACTCATTGTTATACTATCACCAATACTACCATTATTACTATATTAAAATAATTAATAAAATTATATTAAAATAATTAATATTAAGAAAGGTTATGAGAAATGTTAGCTAGAAATACATTTTTAAATACTGATTGAAATTTATAGAAAATTATAAACTTTAATTTTTGTCAGTCTCACACTCTTTTTTAATTATTCTCTCATAATTTTATAATTTTTAATAAATTTTAACTCATAAAAATGTGTTAAAAAGAATACGTTGTAATTAGCCCTACTCTTAATTAAAATTCAATGAATACTAGAGATCAATAAAGTGTGAAACCACGGAATCTTTTAATTTTGGATAAAATATAATTAATTTAAGAAAGTCTTCAATGGAGTGTGTTCCTCCCATGTAAAGGTTCCCACTCCACATATATAGAGGCCGCTCTTCGATTTTCATTTTTCAATAATCCTGCATCTGAGGTTCACACGAGGATAGACAAACAATGAAAAAATACATTAAGTTTGACCTTTAAAAATCATAGGCACATGGCACATTTAGACAGACAAAACCATAGGGTTTTAATTTCATGCTATTAAAGACTTTTTCTATTTATGATACGGACAGGCAGACCTTACTTAAGAATATTTTCTTTACAAGGAAAGATGGTCACACATACTTAAAGTAAGTTATTGCAGTTTTATTTTATTTTTGGATCAGAAGTGCTTGCGGTTATTTTCATGTTACGAGGATGAGTTGAAGTTTATTGAATAATAATTATGGTAACTGGTTAGAGATAGTTGAAAGAGCGAAAATGAAAGGAGGGAGCGTAGTGGAGATTTTTTCTGAGATGCATAAAGGGTGCAACTTTTCAGATACATACGCTTTTTAGACTAGTACCATGTGCTATCATCATCTGCGATTAATAGTCTTAGATAATCAAAATTTGCCAAGTTTGGAAATAACAGTACGTGACCGGCCATAAACTTTCAATAACATAATCATTTACTTGGACGTACATCAAATACAAGTATATAAATAAAAGTTCATTAAGAATATTTATAGCATTACATTAATTATATATAGCTAATCAAATGCTAGAAACTACTTCACACATCACTGCATAGACTATTCAATATTAGGCTTAATAGTTACTACTGTACTCATCATTCGAGCCATGTTGTTTATTCTTGCAATAAGGGTAGCAGGAACATGTTTTAATTTGCATGTGCACTCCTCTTTAAGATAAATTAAGCTCGATATGGTTTCAACAGGTGAGTGAGTGAACCACTAAGGTGGAGGGACATGACTTCATTGGTGGACCCCACCAGCTTCCCTCCGATGAACACTGCAGGGACAGGTGTAGTGCAACCCATCCTAGTTATAGCTTTCTCCATTTCCTTGCCTTCAGGGTCTTTGTCAATTTCATGAACCACAGGGATCACTCCAAGTTCTTGAAACAGAATGTTGACTGCATAGCAGAGGCAACAAGAGCTCTTGGTGAACACCACCACACCCTTTTCTGAGGCCAACCTGATAACCTTGTCCATCTTGATAGTGTAGAAAATTCAAAAAGTACTACAGGAAAAAAATAAAAGAAATGTAAAATTATGAGAGAGATATATGCCTAAATAAGATTACCTCAGAAGTCAAAAACCATAGACCGAATCCAAAATGAATTCGATCTAATATTGGAAACAGAAAACTATGAGGTTTGAGGTTATTTGAAATAAGCTAGTATGGTAGAGTATTTATAGGGACAGCGCTTTCTTTGAACAAGGCACTTTCAAATCAGGTCATGCTTTTTATTAGATGCCCAACTATACATGTAAAGCGACTGTGGTGTAACTTTAAACTGAATTGGAAGACATCATTTACGTGCATATGACACCATAACCATATAATGTGAAGACTTTCACAGCACACAGATGCAAATATCTTCCAGTGATCAAGTGAAATTCGATTGTGTCAGCCGTGTACCACCATCAACCATTAGTGCCCTTTTCTCAATATATGGCATAATATTCTGTTGTGACTATGCCTATAGATTTGTAAATCTTTATTAATGATTAAAGGTTGTTCGCAGTGATATGGTTTTTTAACAAAGATAAGTATATATAGCAGCAGCATATAAGTAAATTTTGTTGGAATAAGATTTTTTTAAGGGTGATGATATATGGTAGGAAACTATACCAAAAAAATGATACTTATATGATTTGGTATATTCCACGTGAATTTATATAATGATAACAAGATTAAAAGAAAGCTATTAAAAAGAGTTTAATTTAAACATATACCATGTGAGAAAAAATTGTCAACTAATTTAAATATGAATTTTCAAGTATTTATTGTAAAAAGTCTAGTTTGCAAAATTGGACAGTTGTGAGTGGTCTAATAATGATCTAATAGCAAGTAGTCTAATAAATTTAATAATAATTAATAATCATTAGAATAATTTTTGATACAAGATTAAGAAAGTGGTTATGAGATTAATTCAATCTTACGAAATTGGCTTGTAATTAAGATCTTTACTTATATAATCTTCATATTGACTTAATTGGTATATAAGATCTCTAACAATATAATTCTTTTTCACTAGGACGACTTCTATACAGGATCAAGTGACATCTCAAGTCACTATTTCATACCTAAGTCAAGAATCGAATTCCTGTCATTAGTTAAGAATTACACCCATATCAGATCATGTGCACTAACCACTCTTAATTAATTTATAAATGTCAAATTGTGCAGAAAAAATAGCATAAAAACCTTTACTTTATCATATTATATATATATATATATATAATATTATATATATATATATATAAACTTTCTAACACACATTAATTTTATCAATTAATATACTATTATTTTCTCTTAAAATAAGTGTTTAATTATGTCTTATCAATACAAAAATATTTATATGATCACTAGAGTTAGCTTTGTAGTTGGGTATAAAATTGTGATAGTTAGAAGCAAGAAGATTTAATTAAGTTTGATCCTTGTAATTTTTTTCATTCAATGTAACCAAAAAAAATAAAAATATTTATGTTGTTAATTAATTAATAATCATATTTATTAGATATAACTTGATATTATTATTATAAAAATCAACACACTCAACATACATGTCAATTTATAATTAAATGACCATATTAAAAAAAAACATTTATGCTATTAGAGCATATATTATTTATTCTTAAAATAAAGGTTAATTTTTATGTATCATCAATATAAAATATATTTATTATTAAAAAAATTATAACTTTTAATATTATTATTGTAAAAATCAACACACCGAACATATATATCAATTTGTAATTAAATGGCCTTATTAAAAAAAACATTTATGCTATTAGAGCATATACTATTTATTCTTAAAATAAAGGTTAATTTTCATGTGTCGTCAATATAAAATATGTCTGCTACTAAAAGTATTATGCATTCTTTGCTATCAGAACATAAAGTTAAATGACATTAAGACATGATCTTCACAACAAAAGCTATAAAAGGAGAAATATGATTTCTTTTTTCTTTAAAAAGAAAGAAGAAAGAAAGAAGTGACATTTAAATTTCATTAACTCTACTCTAATAATCAGATTAGAGTTGATCATTAATTTTCTTGAAAGTGATTAAATCCCTCAACATATTTAACCTGAAAAAAATAACATATGTATTCGTAAGTTTCCTTTCATTAAATTTTAAATTCAAATTCTTTTAAATTAATTAGGTCAAATTAACTTGGAAGTCCTTAATTATAGTTTTATAGAGCTTTTTAAGTTTATTTTAAAATGATTTAAAAGAAGTTCGTTATAACTCTATCAATTTTCTCTATATTTAATGAATAAAGTGTTAAGTTAATACCCAATCAACATAGGTTGACATATGTGATAGTGAATTATCTCTTAACCAAGTTATCAAAATTCAAATTTTAGTTTTTGAGTATGAAATAGACTGTGTTGAAAAGGGAATGCTCATTTTGTGTATGTTCATAGTATTCAATGGACATTTGTCATTGTCTCTAATCATAAATACTTCATACCAATATTATAGTTAATTTTTTTTAAAAAAAAATCAATGAATTGGTTATTGAAATCCACTAACAATATTAATCAATATTAATGGACTAGGCTAATGGCTATATTTGATATATAAATCAAAATTATATTATATAACAGAAATGCCTGATCAAAATTAAATATATAATTACTACTACTGAACAATATTAATAAAAAAAAAATTAAAAATACTACTTTATTTTTATAGTAACCATTTCAATAAAAAAAAGTTATATTTTTTTATATAAAAAATAAATATTAATTAAAGCCACTAGACTAATGACATTATTTGATATATAGATGAAAGTCATACTACAGTTAAATATGTATTTATTACTAATAAATTAAATAACATTATTATATAAGATTTAGGTTAATAAAAATTATTTAGAAAATATATATTTATTTGGTATTAATAATTGTAAAAATAAACTAATAGTAT